TACCACCATAGCGCAGTGTCACTGGACTTGCACAGTCATTCTCCTGGCCAGGAGAGAGATGTACGTGGCCAAGAGAGGCAGAGGTAGGACTGCCGGGTTTGGAGTAGGAATTAGCTACTCATTTCACCAGTGCTGTCCTTGCTGTGTCCTCCTGGGCACAGTGGGTAGGACACCTTCCTTACCAGCTGATGGCAAAGACTCAAGTCAATGAGCAAAGATGTGGAAGCATCTAGTGGCTTGTCCATCTTATTCAATGCAGGGAGCAGAGCAGTTTCCATGGGGTGCGGGGGTAGCAGTCACCTCTGCTTATTCCCCAGAAGGGAAGGAGGTCAAGGTAAGATACTCTAGCTGAGGGTGCCCCGGCACTGCTGGGGAGCATGCGGCTTCCTCACTCCTATAGCCACAGAAAGGAGGGAATGTCCATTCCCATCCCAGCAGAGGAAAATATGGGGGAATCCTTAGCTCTCTGAGCCTTCTCGCTCACCCCTGTCCAGAAAAGGAGACATGCCATTCCCTGGGGCTTGGGAGAAGGAACTGGGCAGGCCTCCTCACCCCTTCCAGCTTCCTCCTGTGGGGCAGCCAGTCCCCAGGCCCTGGGGCAGCTCCTCCTTGGTAGGAGTTTATGGGTAGCACTGCCCTAGGTAAGGTCCACCATTGTGTCCTTATCCTATGTGGAGTAAGCCAGTCTTTTAAATTTGGAGGCAAAGTTTTAACATTTGGCCTCAGGTCTAATGCTATATTCTCCTTTTAGTCGTCTTCTTCTTTTTTTTTTTTTTTTTTTTTTGAGACAGTCTCAGTATGTCACCCTTGGTAGAGTGCCATGGTGTCAAAGCTCACAGCAACCTCGAACTCTTGGGCTTAAGTGATTCTCTTATCTCAGCCTCCCAAGTATCTGGGACTATAGGCACTAGCCACAATACCCAGCTATTTTTTTGTTGTAGTTGTCGTTGTTTAGCAGGCCTGAGCTGGGTTCAAACCCACCAGCCTCAGTGTGTGTGGCTGGCACCCTAACCACTGAGCTATGGGCGCCAAGCCTTTCCTTTTAATCTTATTGATAAAAATGCTGGCCTTTTATCTCATTTGACTGTCCCCTGGGCCTTGTTTCTCAACTGATTCTGAACTTGAGATGGTGAAAACAGTAATTTAAATCCTTTCTAAACCTGAACATTGACCAAGGTAGGAATAGACAGATATTGTTGAGTTATGTGGCACTTTCAAACTCTTTGAAGAAACCACTCATGGTAAGGAAGCAGAGGCCAAACTCAAAATCTACTTATTTTGCTCCTCACTGACCTTAGGGGGGGTAACATATTTCTTTTCTTTTCTTCTTTCTTTTTCTTTCTTTCTTCTCTCTCTCTCCCTCCCTCCCTCCTTTCCTTCTTCCTTTCTTTCTTTTTGAGACACAGTTTCACTCTGTCACCCTGGGTGCTATGGTGTCATAGCTCACAGCAACCTCAAACTTTTGGGTTCAAGCAATCTTATTGTCTCAGTCTCCCAAGTAGCTGGGACTACTAGGTGCCCACCACAATGCCAGGCTAGTTTTTCTATTTTTAGCAGAGATGGGGTCTCACTCTGGTCTTGAACTCTTGAGCTCAAGCAATCTACCCACCTCGGCCTCTCAAAGTACTAGGATTACAGATGTGAGCCACCATGCCCAGCCCACGTGTCTGGTTTAGAAAACAAATGAATTATTAGTGAGTTCAGTCACTTGACTGAGTATCTTTTAAGGATAGAGTCCAACTTGAGACTGTGACGAGTGGTCCGGGGGGTGGAAAGGTTGCCTTCATGGGCTAGAGTGCTCTGAGCTCTCCTCTCTCACGGCCTTGTCACTCTGGGTCAAGGCTGTCTACCAGCTGGTCTGTCTCCATCACTACGTCCCACATGGTGGGCACTGAGGACTTACTTATCTCACACATGGTATGTGTCAATATCTACACGAATGCAGACATAATTAAATGGAGGAATGGTCACAGCCTTGAAAGAGAGACTTCACTGAGCACCTTCCCTCCTTGGCAGTGACAGCTCTTACCTTCATACTAAGCCCCCTCTTGCTAGCCCCCACTGCAGAGCTGCTGAGGTCCCCCCATGACCTTGGAGGTCTCCATGAAGCTCCCTATTAACTGCATGGGTACCAGCTTTGCAAAGTAGAGAGATTAAAGAGCTTTCTCAACAGTCTCCATCCCCACGGGCAAACTAAGTGTGCTTAAAGTACAAAATCCAAAGAAATACAAACCCAAGGCAAAGATTCTTCTGAGGTTAGTATGCATTATCTGGCTAGCTGAAATTCTTTGGCTGGGCACATCGGCTTTAACAGACACATCAAATGACTAAAGTCCTTACTTGGTGAGAGAGTTGGCGTGGGCTAAAGGCAGACTCTCCTGGGTTTCTGAGCTGCTGATGTGACCTGGACAGATCCCTTCATGTCTCTGAGCTCCAGTTTTGGGTCCATAAAATGGGGCTAATGATTGCTTCCTCAAAGGGATATGGCAGAGGTGACACGAGTTATTGAAGGGATCTGTTGTTTTCCAAAAAGAGACTATATAGCACCGGGGCTACATGAGTGGTTTTGGTGATCCACGGATGGGTACTTAAAATTTTGTCTTTATAAGCTTAGGAAAAACTTGGATTTTGCCAATGTTACTGCTATAGATGTATTTGTACAGATGTCAGGTTTGAGTCTATTTAAAGAAAAACATCAAGTAAAAAAAACAGTGCAGATGTAGGAGAGCATGGCAAACATTTCTGAAATGGAACTCAAATGGCTGCTGTTTGGGGACAGTAGCAAGTTCCTAAAACTTGTGCCTGCCAGTAGTAGGTGCTCTAGAAATGCTGTCATGGTCAATGGTTCATCAAACCAGCACCCGGGGAAGAGCTACAGGACAACCCACCACAGGGGCAAAGCTGGAAAGAGTTAAAAGAACAGGGTCTCCCACCCCTCCTGCAGCTAATCTGTCACCTAATGAAGAAGGGGCCGGCACAAGTGAGCTGGCTGGCAGTTCACTTACAGCAAACTGATTAAGAATGTTCAACCAACAGCAGACTGTAGACCTTTCCAGAGAAAATAAATAGAGTGTAGACTGTATGCAAATGTGTTTGTCACTTTGACAGCACGTCTCAATTAAGGCATCTCGCGGCTGTGGGGAGGCTCTCCGGCTGCAGCTGGAAGGGAGAGCCCGCTGCATGGCTGATACTAGGGGCTTGACCTTAATCCGCATGCATGCATTAAAAAAAAATCCTGCCTTCCTGTATACTTGCATAATGCCGGCAGCCACGTGAGGGAAGTGACAAACGAGGAAAAAAAGCCACTTTCATCCTCTCCAGTTTACAGACCTGTGAAGGCACAGACAGCTCTTATTTCAACAGAGTTTGGGGTGGCTTTTTTAATTGTTTATCCCCCACCCGTGTGCGCACACATACTCTTATTCTGCATTTAGCTGGGAATGACATTAAAGCATCTCTACTTCTGGCTGAAATGGAAAGAAGGTCTTTCTCCATTTCAAATAGGGCCTCCTTTTTTTGTGTTTCGAAAATGGAATGTTTAACACCATGAAATCCCGCTCCCCCGCCCCCTCTTTCTCTGTAATGGGCTCCAAACTCCAGCGAGGGGCTCCTTTCATGGGAAGGTTAGTGTGTGCAGGAATGAGGACAAAGGAAGGCAGGAAGCTGACTCTGGAATGCCATGCTGGCGACAACCGACCAGGGCTGTGCTTTCAGCAAACACAGCCAGGGAACCGGGGCGCAGATTTCTCCAGCAGGGCCTGAACCAGGCAGGGGTGGGGAAGGCCGATCTTCAGGGGGACAGACGCCAGTGCAATTTGACGATTCTCATTAACCGACTGAGCACCGCCCCGTGGATGCCTTCTTCGCTTCATTTTAATTTTTATAGCATCCTTTTAAGTGTAAAATCAGAGAAGGGGATGAACCTATCCAAGTTAAAGATGTATGAATATATTATCTGGAAATATTGATGAGAAAAAAACCATTTTTATGTTCCAACCAACACACCCCTTACCAGAATAACATACAGCAACAATTTTGTTAAGTTCCCTTCGTTTCTAAATAGCTCAATGCCCAGTACACAGTAGGCACGTGATAAATGTCTGTTAAAAACAGGAAAATTTTAAATGTAGGCATCTAGACCCTTTATGTGGTAAAACAGCAATCACATTTAAGATAAAAATCATAAACCCTATTTTAATCACGCGTCCTGATAAATGGTTAAAGAATCAGGGGATTTTAAAACAGATAACTTTGTAAATTTTGTTACAGCCATATCTTAACAGAGCCATTTCTCATTAACAAAAAAATTAAATGACTTTTGCTAATCAAAAGTCAACTTAAGAGAAGCAGGGGAGGGTATGCCATCATTTTCAGTCAAAAATATAACCAGAGAGAGGAAAGGAATAAAAAATTTTAGTTTCTGCACAGAGTACAATGTTTTACTAAGGGGGAAAAATAATCAAAGAAATAGACAATTTTTCAAATGCTCAGGTCATTGAAAACAGCTGGTTAAAGAATCGGATCTCCAGGACCCGTAGCTTGGGTGTTTACTTTGAGAAGCACGACTCCCGATATTGATTTTCAGGAAGTACATTAATAAAGAACTCCTAATTGATTTTTTTAAGACTTCGCTTGTTGCCTTTTATTTGAAGGTGCAAAGAAGGGCCTGGGATGCTAAAGTGTTCTAATGAGATGCTTAGCTAACGGAGACACCTTAAACGGAGTGCCTGGAGTGGGGGAGACAGCAGCTGCATTTAATGACTTCATTCAATAGCTGAGCTAGTTTATGGCCAGAGCCAGGCTGTCTCCTCAGAATTTTTGAAAATTCACCTTCAAAACATGTTTGCACCAAATAAACATCCGAAGATGTAAAAACCTCCATGCAGTTGCTTTGCTGAAGAGAGATGAAATGAAAACCTGTCTGCTGAATGTGCTACAGTGCCAGCAAAAACCAAAAACCAAAAAACAGAACAGACTGATACAAGGGCCAGGGCACATACCTGTCCAAAGTGGACTGTGATTGGCCGTCGGTCTTCCCGGAGCTTGGGGTCCTTGGCTTCCACCAGTGGGGATGGTGCCGTCTTTGGCAGCTGCTCTTCTGAGGTGGGGACACAGCCATTCTCAGTGATGTCCTGCAGGGAGAAGGATTGTTGCAGGTTGGTGTGGGGTCCTGGCACCGGCGCTTCCTCCAATCTCACAGCTAAGAGCCCCCTCTGGGATATTCCAAACCTCTCCTCCTGACGGAGATGGAGGGCTAACTTGGCTCTTTGACTTTCAAGGACTTGAGAAATCAAAATCATCCATGTTAAATTACACAGATAACATAATAATTTATAATAGTGGGGAAAAATCATCTTTTATCCTACTACCTTATATAGCTATTTTCATTTTTATATATTCACTTTGTCCACGTGCAGACATTTAAAAATTACTTGTGATCGCAATTCATCCATAATTTTATATCCTGCTTCCCCCCCAATATATTATAAGTATCTCCATGATGCTACATAATCATTATAGCAATTTTAATGGATGCATGATATTTCATTGACTGGATATACAATAATTTAACAAACCATTTCATTAGTATTGGACATTTAGGTTGTTTCAAAAAAAATTTTTTTTTTATTTTCTAAATATCAGTGATAAAAATTGCAGTTGTTTAACTTTTGAATGATTTCTTTTATGGAAATCCCTAGGAATAAAATTACTAGGTCAAAAGATATAAACATTTCTAAGGCTTTTTATTCATTCTACCAAACTGCTTTTCAATTTACATTAACTACCAGCAATAGATGTGTTACCAGCTTCACAGTACTCTTTAGCCCTATCGTTTTTAAAATGTATTGCTAATTTAATAGGTGAAAAATAAGACCTCATTGTTGCTTTAATTTGCATGACTTGAATTATTTGTGCGTGTGGACATTTTTGCCACATTTGTTTACTGCTGATGTTATTGTGAGTGATCTTGTATTGTGTTTCCTCTTTTCTACCCTGATCTCTTCGGCAGGGAATAAAAAGACTAAAGTCTGAGTTAGGACTCCATGACTTGGGAAAAATTTAGGGGCCAATGAACTACTTTAAAATCCAGAAATATACATTAAATTTGTGCTTCTGATGAATGAAATCAAATTGTATGGAAAAGAAAAACTCCAGTGTGCAAAAGGCAGGCCATGGCTCCATTGACTGAATCTGGCAGCTGGCTAGACACGTGGGTTATTTGGAACAAGGATGGGTCCACTTGTCCGATAAGGGTCACATGTTTTATTCAAGTCATGAAAATTGCTTAAATTTCCATTGGAACAAGGCAGAGAATAAATGTATAAATAAATAATATTTAAATAATCATTTTCTTACCAAATAAAAATAACTCATGGCTAGAATTGAATAATGAATATAATTTCCAAATTTTTTCATTGTAACAATAAACGTACATCCTGGTCAACAAAACATGCACTCTTGACACACGTTAAATTCTGCACAAAAGATTTTGATAATTAGTCTCCTTTAACTTCTTAGCTAAACACAGAATGGTGGGGCATGGAGGAAAGTGGTCCCTTATTCAATAATCATGCATTAAGGAAGAGATATATTATCTCCATGTCTCAGTTTCCTCATCTATAAAGTGGGGACATGGTAGGAAGGTAGGAAGATTAAAGGAGACAGATAATTTGGAAACATTATTGGCTACTCAGTAAAGTGGAGGAATCACACACACACACACACACACACACACACACACACACACACTCTGCACATCCAACTGCCTACCTCCTGGCCTCCTTCCCTAAGGAATCATGGCTGCCCGAGAAGGCCAGTCCTGTAGTCTCTACTGCCTGGTAAACAACTAAGGGAGATACTGACCTCTTGGCTTTGCAGGGAGGGCTTGGATCAAGTGGCCCAGATCAGATCAGTCAGTCTCAGCCAGGCTGAGGCTCAGTGATGAAAGAGGTTGCCGACAGCCAATTAGAAACAGCTCTTTTAGAAAGGGGGCTGCCCTAAGGTGCTCAGGTCAAGCGGAACAAAGAGGGGGTAAGGGGTCCTTTTGTGGCAAAAAGCAACAAAGGGCAAAAGGGGTATTTTGGATCTAGGTGGGGCTATCTAGAGGATAGATACAAGAGATTGAATGAGGCTAAACATTAACAAACTCACTTTTGGTGCAGGAAAAGTTTTGCGTGTATGTGTGTGTGATTTGTGTTTGGCTGAAAAAAATAGGGCTGCAAGGTAACACAGTGAGAAAATATTAGTATTAATTGAAAACTATAAGGTGAGAGCTATTTTTAAAAAAGAAAACGTGATAGTTTTAGAAAAAGCATCTTAGTTGAAGCTTGTAAGTAAAAATACTGTCTTCTAGTTTTGTTTTTACTGTTAACTAGCTGTCTGATCCTTCCAATTCACTCAACCTTTCTGCACCTATTTCTTTATTTTTACTTCGGGAGACCACCACCTGCCTGGCAAACTTCAAAGCTACTGGGAGAATGGGTTAAATGAGATGAGATAGGAGGAAGCTTTGAAAGATGTCACAGCACTGTGCAAATTGAACATTAGATCCTTACCCCCTGCAATAGGTACAGAACACCTGCTAAAAAGAAGAGCTTGTCTGTGTGGAGCGCCTACCCCTCGCAGGCACTTTTCTGGACCCCTGACCTTCATTCTCACACTTAGCTCCCACAATGATCACAAGGCAAATAGGATTATCCCTCTTTTATAGGTGAGGAAATAGGGCTTGGGGAGGGTAAATTACTCAAGGTCATGTAGGTAGAAAGTGGAGGAACCCTGACCAACGTGAAGCCTGACATTTGTACCACATTAACCTGCAACAATGGCACAAGTGACGGTACTGACTGAGAATTGCAGAGGTGCCCAGCAAGTCATCAGATGCGATTTCCTCCTCCTCGGAAACCCCTCTTGTTACACCACTCTGCTCCTGCCATGCCTTATGCTATCTTATCTTTGTACCCAATAGATTGAGAGTTCATTGGGGTCTGGGCTCTCTACCCTGGAGCCTTGAATCTCGTACATGCTCTCCAGTAAATCTTTGTGAAGCTGAGCTAAACATTGGGAAGGTGAATGTGTCCAACAGATAAATGTGGCTGTGTGTCAAAAAGTAGCACTGCATATACATTTTATTTATTAGATTAAAAGCTGCAAATGATTTCTTATAAAGTCCTGTGGCTCACCCCACCTATATGCTAACTTTTTCACTCCTTCCCTCACTTGGGGAAAGACAGCTGCTTCCTCCTAGGATGCCACAGTGAACAGAAGAGGAGGAGCCCAAGACAAGAAAGAAAAGGGCCAGTTCATATCCTCTGCTGGACCTACTAACAGAATATTAGACAGAGTAAGGAGTCAGTAAACAGCAACTTTTCTTACCCATGACAAAAAAAAAAAAAGTGGGGGTGCTGCTGGTGAGAATGGAAATTGGCAATTTACAGGAAAAAACCTAAAAGATATACATGCCCTTTGGCCCACTAATTCCATTTTTAGAACTGTATCCTAATTAAATAAAAAGAAATCCTGTAAAGTCTTACCTATGAGGATATACGCCTAGAAAAAGTTGCAAGTAATGTAAGATCTGACAGTGGGACTGATTAAACAATCCACATATGTTTATTACACACTATTTTATGGAGCCATTTAAAACAATGACATGTGGAAGAAACATTTAGTAGCCCTGGGAAATGTCTAAGATATAGTAAATGAAAATACAGGTTATAAAATAAGATTATTTTCTTTTTCCTTCCCTGATTTGTTGCGTTTTCCCCAACAAACATGGATTTTGTTTGCAAACAGCAAAAAAACTAACTTTCTAAATGTCATTTTTAGAAGCAAAAACAAGAAGCAGAGAGGAGGGAGCTGAAGGGTCACACAGGAGGAAGACACTAGACAGAGCTATAGATGAGAGGCCACCAAGGGTGGCAAATCTCTTCCTAACATCCCTGAGGCTCAGCTCAGAGCAACTGGGGTCCTATCAGTTCCCACTCCTCGGTAAAGCAAAAGAGTCAGGAACTAATTGTGGTCCTGTTATTTTCAAAAATCATGACTGCCATCTATCCTCCACCCCTCTGTGGGGAAGGCAGCACAGGATATGATAAGTCCTTGAACATGAGTTCCCAAGAAAAATCAGGAGGCAGGGACCCAGGGTCTTGGGAGACCAGAGGGCATAGGGGCCTCTCAGTGGGTTTGGGTAGGAGCTGAGGACAGGACTTCATGAGTTGGAGATGTGAGATGGAGCCCCATAGCCCACAGTGCAGGCCCTGCTGAAGGAATGGCAGGGGGTCCAGCAGCTGGGGCATTCCACCTCTGACACAAGAAGGTAGAAGGATAGAGAGGTCTTAAAGGTTTCAGTCCAAAGAGTGGCTTAGGTCAGAGCTATGTTCTGTGGACGACCTAAAGGCAGGCAGTCCGACGTCAGCTGTGTTAACACTCAGTGTATGGGCACATGGGTGTCTGGGCAGATGAGGAATATAAGGAAATGGACAGAAGGAAAACTCTCATTTACTGAGTGGCCACCAAGCATTGCTATTTACACACATTACCTCTTCTAATCCTTATAATAATCCTGTAAAAATCTGTATTTCCCTTAGTTTATGGATGAGAAAAACTAGGTTCAGAGTGATCTAGAAACTTATCTGAGGTCACACAGCTAATATCCTACAGAATATTAGGATCCACTGGGTCCAGCTGGTCTGTCTTAGAAACCCAGACACCCCATCACCAGGTGGGGGAGTTTAAAGGTCATCATAGGTATGAGGCAGAGGCCTTCCCATCTCTGACTCACACTACTGGTGGGAAAACTGTCTGTCTCTGTTTTCAGATTTGTGCAGTGCCCTTCATTTCCCAGGCTATCTCACACTGCAGCAAATGCAAATTAAAATATGAATACTGACAGCAAGATAGTAACCAAAGTTGGAACTTCTGTGATTGAGGCTGTTGTGTATTTTAATGTGTCTGGAGACAGGGAGCTGACAGTTGTGTGATAAGGTGTGAAAATGTCTGTTCTACCAGAGTCTACCTAGATCTCCTCGCCCTGGGCATGCTTACGTTCCCTTCAATGGGAACTGTTTGGCCAGAAACTCAAGTCTTGGCAAAACCAACCAGGAACCTGCTCCTTTTAATCACGGAGACTCTAAATCAACACGCTCGATTTGTCCTTTAAAGATCAAAGATTCAGAAACTTCTACAAAGGGCTGTAAAATGGGCCCATTTGGTTAAATCATTTTGATCCTGAAGAAAAAAAGAGAACAATTTCAGGGGTTTCTCAATAGGCAAAAAAGGACATCCCTATGTGAACATCTTAATGCTCCCTGCAGGTGAGGAATCACCCGCAGTCATCACTCCTAACACAGGGCATTCTCCTGCCAGCCTTTCCTGGCTCTGCAGCGGGATGCAATTTGTTGACAGTCACATCCAGCCACAAGGCACTCTTCTGCGGACAGGGTCTGGCAGGGAGACAACTCTGGATGAAAGCACTACACTCTCCCTTAGAAAATGGTGGCTGGGTAGCATCTTTGCCATTTCTTCTTCCTAATTTTGAGCAAGTCAGACTTCAAAGGAGGCCACGCTATAGAAGAACTTGACCACCTTGCTCCATTTATCTAGAGAAACATGTTATCCAACCTTCTCTTTTTGTTGTTGGGTTGAAGCAGAGCAGATACGGAATAAAGCCACACTATAGGATCTATTAACAATTATTTGCCAATGGTCACACGGATATCCTGAAAGCTCCTATTTCAGATGCTTTGAAAATAGGCAGCACAAATGAACAGGGGATGGAGAAGGGGCCCTGCTCAGTCGAATTAGAGATGGACCCTCCACACACCACGATGACCTCTCCACAGGTCGGCCCCACATTTTCTATTTGCAATTCAAACCCAAGGCGAGAGTGAGGAGGGCAAGCTTGGGTTCTTGATTATATCTGTGAGGTCACCATTGCTATGCAGAGTTAGAGGAGGCCAGGTGGCAACCCAGCACATTTGAAAATTGGATCTTTGCTGGGGACTGCCTCAATTTCATGGCAGAAACCAAACTTGGCCGTCTGGATTAGATGCATCTGGGCGGCCACATAGATATGGTGCCATGTAAAGGGGAGGGGGCAGAGGGAAGGGGAACAAAAAAGCCAAGGAAATATTTTCTACTGCTGTGAGAGAGGTCAGGCGAAGCCAAGTCCTAAATTAGCTCAAGAAAGGGAGCTAGAGAGCGCCAGAGCCCCAAGTCCTGTATATACACTGAACAATGCTGGAGTTTCAATTACAAAATAGCTCTCTTCCAAGAACAACTGCAAAACATCAAGTCTGTGGAAATCTGTAAGACCGAAGGGGGGAAAAGTGAAAATTGAAAAGGGTGCACTAATAGATCTGTCAACAGTCCGATGGTGACAAGCCACATTTCTATAAAATGCCTTCACCATTTGTGTCACCTGAAATGTACTGACACTCTCTATAGAACATTATCTCCTAAAGCTATTCTTGAAAAGGCTGGCAGGGGGAAGGGGAGGGGAGGGAGACATCTGCTTCAGATACTATCAAAGAACGGAAAGAGAGATGGTGTGGAAGGAGATCTAGATTGTTTAAACAAACCTTTGAACAACCACACTTAAAATCAGGAGCGTAACTGGCTATTTGCAGAAATGTTAAATATCATAAAAAGGGGATTTTCCTCAGGCCGAATACTTGGCCTGTACAAGCAAGTGGGGAGGTAAGGTGAAGTCTCTAGCGCAATGGTCTGTAGGGAGCACATCTGACCAACAGGGGCGCATCTGTCCCTTGCCTGAGGAGGGACCCAACCAGAGCCTCTGATCCAGACATCAAGGAGGGAAAAATCTCCCCTCCTGGTTGCTCCATTTTATATCTGTAATCCAATTCAGTTCCACGTAACTGGGATAGGAGATATGTTGTTAAAAAAAAAAAAAGTATATTTAGTGACTAAAATCCAAGTAAAGAATGCCACCTGCCTTCCTCTGGCAGGGCACAGCAGACTATAGTTTAAGGTCTATCTGGATTTATACTGGAGGGTTTTAATTTCAGGAAGTGAATCTTAGCTATTAAAAATTTACTCAGTTGAAACTAAGAATTTAAATGCTTAGTCAGAGCAAATTATTTTCCAATTAAAAGAAAGGAATCAATCCCTTCAACCATTTCAAGTTAATTAGAAGTCCTTTCTGACTTTATAAAATTAAAACTGTTTTCAATTTTTTAAAAATTGCAGAGATAGCCAAAAGGCCCTTATTAGAGTGGTACATTTGGGGGCATGGGGGTAATGAAGTAAGTGATCCCAAGCATCCTTTGGAAAACAAAACACTCGTTTTAGGAAGGCAGTGTGAAATACTGAAGTGTAAAAGCACAGCCACGGGAAGTCAGTGGATCTGGAATCTAATCCTGGCTGGGCCATGCTCTAACAGTATGGCCTGGGGCAAATGACTTCCCCTCTGAAGCCTAGTCTCTACTTATGAAATGGGAATAATTCCCCACTGGGTTAAGATTTAAATATGAAAGCTCCTAGCCTGGACCACAATAATAACAATGATGACGTCTATAATAATATAAAAATGCCCTGTCTGTTATAGTACCTTCTCCGTACAAGTCCAGAGATTCAGGTTGGAGAAACCTTAGCCAGGATGTAGCCAGTATGATTTCGTACAATTTTACTAATGGTCCCAGAAGTCAATCAGAGCCCTCCCCTCCCTCCCCAGAGTCTCAAGTAGAAACTGCTGGGCTCGTCCCAGGCAGCCTGTGGCCTCCTCCTCCAACCCACCCTTTGTGCTGTATCTGCGTGCCACGTGCAAGCTGGTACCACAGTGTGGCAGTCACTTCCCTGGAGATGCTTTCTCGGTTTAGGTTACGACCAGGCCTGGGGCAGAGGTCGGCTGTAGGAGGGGCTGAGGAGGCCTAGGGGATTTCTACAGATGCCTGTGAACTCTAGGCCCAGGGGGACCGGCCAGGGATAGACCCGCAATAGTAACTCTGAACTTGCTTGCCTTTGTGGGTTTAAGCTAGAGACTTAATGTTATTTGAAGACAGTTTTTTGTCTGTGAATATTTATAACAGTGTGAAAACTCCCGGACAGCTGGTAATGCATTTTGAAGTGTGTTAACAACACTGTATCAAACAGCTCTCTATTGATCACATCATACTTTTTTGTGGCCATGCATTTCATACACGGTGCTTATACATTTTGAATAAGAACTTCAAGTACCTTTTGCTTCAAGCGGTTTTTCACCTCTTTTATTCCCATTTTTGCATGATCTTTTGCCTGCATGAAAAATTAATTTAAGTTAAGATTCCCTTTCTGTTTCCAGCAGGGACTATGCTTGATTTCAGTCCGTCGAGAATCACCTTCTCTGATTACTAGAAAGAGGAAGGAAAAATGGGATCATCAAGTCGAAAACATAATGGCTATAAAAACAAATACAACGGTAAGAGGTTAAAAAAATCCCTTAAAGAGGCTGCAGAGATTTTTTTCCTGCATTTTGATGGCACAGATTTTTTTTTCTTCTAAAGCCCTTCTTCTGCTCTCTATAATTATTTATCTCGGCAGCCTGGTGACAGCTACTAGGAAGAGTAGAGCAGCAGCTTTTCTGGCTTCAGGATCCAGAATGCCCGTTATATTACACCAGGGCAGGGCCTCAGGGCCTCAGGCCCAATTTTCTCTCCGGGATGAACAGCGAAACAGACTCATCACTGGGTTTCGGTACTGTCACCATTAAATCTCATTTCGGCAGACACCCTGGCTTTTATTTCATGTCATTTTAGATCTGCGTGGTTCTATTGGCAGCTACCCACTCTGTTAAGATGACTACAATTTAAGCATAGAGAGGACTAACACAATTAAAAATGGAAATAAAACAGAACACCCCACTTTGGTGGCTCTGGGTCAAATTAGCAAACAAGAGAAATCACAGGAAAAAAATTGTAGCTTGTGAAAGATGGAGCACTGGGACCTGATGTGTTCTCCTATTTTCACTTGGCTGTGGGCATGAGTCTCACAGATAATGCATTTCCTATAGGGCAGTAATGAGAGAGATGATGAAGAATTTGGGAAAAAAAAATTAAAGGGTATATCCCACTGCATTCTTTAGTAACCTGAAAAGGAGCTGCTTTGTTTTGCCCTAATAATGGGGATGCGGGTAGGAAAACTTTCATGGAGCAGCCTGAATTTTAGCCACCATTTTAAAAGCTAAAACCAGTGGCCTCCCATTTCTCTACTGCAGCCACTATGAACAGCAGCACCTTAAATTAAAGCTGAACTGGTTGTCAAATCTCAATGCTAATAATTCTATGATCATCGAGACCTTCAGGAAATAGCAAAGCAGCCCCCGAGTCATCTCTGCAATAGAAGATCGAGTTGACTGAATAGTGCCAGCATGCTAAGGAACAGATCTGTTTGGATCCTGAGACTAAGACCAGTACTTACGAACTTGTAGACAGTCTTCATGGCTGGATTTGCTTTTGTTTTTACAGTATTCAGAATTGCTCCACTTCCTTTCTATAATAAAAATGTCAATTAGCAATTTGGGGTGAAGACAGAGTAGACCAACACCAACAAAGACCTCTTCTCTTCCATCAACTTGAATTGCTTTTCAAAGGGTTTATTCAAATAAACCAATAGAAACTGGTCCTGGACGGTCATGGTCATGGTTATGGCAGAATAGCTCTGGGTGGGTATATGCAGGTTGTGGGAGCGTGGCCTTGGGATGAGGAGTGTGATGACCAGCTTAGGTGGAACCCTGGGCTCAATGTTTTGGCTGGAAGGGAAGAGTATCTCAGGCTGTCTGAGGCAAGCATTTTCCTATAATCATCTGTGGCTTTTCAGGAAATTTCAGTTACCACGGACAATACTCAGGAAGTTTAATAATTGTGGATTCTACAGCAGACACCAAGCCAGGGCAGAAAATGGGATCCTGGTCAGGCAGGATCGCTGGGAACTATGCTGCTACCCATGAAACTTCCTTTCCTCACCTTGGTTTTCTGTGTTGTGTTTTAAAATCTCTCTGGTAGGCTGCTTCCCTTAACATCTAAATGTTGAGAAAAGGAAAGAATGAATAGCCATCAATGTTCACTGTGGCTTTACTGTACATCTAATACACCAACTTCTTGCTCATTTTCTTTATGGAGCAGGGGAGAAGAGGAGGAGGCAAGGCCTTCCCACTACATTAAGGAGGTGATGGAGGGATTTGAGGTGCACAGGCCAAGTTTTCATAGTTGTGCACGAATCTTCAGTCTTGTCCCTGCAGACATGTTGGGAGGGCTCATTTCACGGGTGCCCCATGTTAGGCTCTGAGGGCGCTGAGCCAAAGGAGGCCTGGTCTCTGCCTCCAAAAACCTCCAGTTGCAGGGGGTGGTCCATGGTAAATAACTAAAACAGCAGGTGATGAGGTGATGACAGCCGTAATGGCTGTGTGCACCAGGAGTGTGGAGACACAGGAGAACAGGGAAGGCCTTGGAAACCTTAGACCCGGTCCGTGAAGGATGAATAGGAGTGGATGTGAGGATAGGAGGGGAAGAACGTTCTAGGGATAGGAAATAGCTCATAAAAAAGTACAGAAGCTGAAAAGCCATAATCCACTCTGTAACGAGAGATTACACTGTACAGTGGGATGGTTGGTAAGTGGGACTGGGAGGCCAGATGGGGTCAGCTTGTGAAGGGCCTGCAATGCCAGGCTAAGGGTTGGTACTCTGGAGGCTTTTTAATGTCACATAATCAGATTTATGGTGGTTTAGAAACTGATTGAATGGAGAGAAACTGGAAACAGTGGGAATATAAGATATAGTAATTACTGGCTTTCATTTTTAGTACAATATGTGGTAAATGGCCACATTAGAAATTTTGAGCTTTAATTAAAAACATTACAATTTGACATTCTATGCTGTCCTACAGCATTCTATGTTGTAGGACAATAGGAAATTTTCACCCACTCATTTATTCCATACTGCTTTCCAAAATTACTCAGTATCCTATTTAAATGGTCCTTTGGCGTATTGAAACTCCCTTTATCAATCAATCAACAAGTCCTTATTGCTCCTCTCTGACTTGCCAAGCGCTGTGTTTGGCCATACAAGAAGAACAAAGGACGTCTTTCATCGAGGAGTTGCTTACTCTCGGCCAACTGCAGCCACGTCCAAGGGGCTCGCCTTGGCAGCAGCGCCCTTGGCCCGTGAGCAGGAGAGAACACTCATCACATTATGCTGGGGATGCCTGTTTACGTGCTTGCCTCAAAGGTGGGGAGCACCCCTCAGGCAGGGCCTGTGTCCTGCTCCCTGTTGTGGCCCTGTGGTGCCTGGCACACAGTAGGCCTTCAGTACATACTTGATTATATACTCATGGAAAGGAAAGGCAAGATTTTGAATTCTTTAGCGGCTTGAGAAGCCCTAAGCACCAGGCTGCGAACAAAACAAGAAATTGTTTACGACAATAGAGAGAAGGTGAAAAGAATCTCTCAGTGATGTGTTCTCTGTCTTCCTGTGAAAGATATTACAGAGTAGCAAGAGTGATACATTTTTCGTTTGCCCATGACCATGACCATTGCACTGGCCCTAGAAATGCTCTAAGATGTCCACATTCCATTCAGTACTCCTCGGCTGAAGAGAAGGAAGCCTCCCCTGCCTCTCTACCCTCACCAAGGGCTGCCTCTGGCTGGTCCCATCCTGCTCATCTTCTGGCATGAGAATAGCTTGGCTTTGAAAACAAAACATCTTCAGCTGAGAGAATGGAGCCCTTGGGGCCCACAGCAGCCTTGTGGGTGGCCAAGGAAGCAGAGGCTGCCAAGAGGCTGAGGAGGGGGCCTAGGGCTTGGAATTGGGTGTACACTTACCCGGACTGTGGAGAGCCACTGATGGTACAGTTTATCACTGCCTGGGGAAAGAGAAGTCAGAGAAGACATGATTTCAAGACATGATTTGCCTTCAGGAGCTCTTTAACTTGCTTTCGTTATGCAGGACTTGGAAAGTTCAAAATCTGGAGAACTGCACGGAGGCTCCTGCGTTCCACTCCCTGGAGATAGCAGCGAGTCACTGCCACAGGTTTTCTTTTTGAAGCGGAGAGCCGATCACAGTAATGCCCTGACTCTCAGCCTTCAGAAGCCTCCCCATTGTCCACTGGGTAGAGGTCAGACTCCATCAGCCTTGCCTCCTGGCCTCAGCACCTCTGCATCTCCATCCTGGGCTACCACTATGCACGTCATAAGCTCCACTGCGAGGAACTACCTAGAGTCCCCACATTAGCATCCTCCTGGATCCCCAGACCCTTGTAAATGTGGCTCCTTTGCTTTTTTTCTCTTCTTGTTATATTCAACAGCCAGGTCAGATATCTTTTCCTCTGGAAGCTTCTCCTTCCTCCAAACAGCTCTTGAGGACAGGTGATCCCCACTTAGATGTTCATGTTCCCTGAAGCACCACGAGCCACATCACAGCAGGAACCCTCAGAGCTGTGCGTCCCAGTGTAAGGACCTTGCTGGACACACACTCAGCCCTCAAAACACTTAAATAGTGAGAGGGAAAGAAGGAACAGGGGGTGCTGGTGAACTCTGTTTACTCGAACTGGTGCGTTCAGGAGGTCTTCTTATCAGTAGACAGCTCTTTTAGAAGCTCTGAATAAGTGAACTTAGATAAGCATCACCTCAGCCTGTCTTCTCCTCGGAACTCATATTCATTTGTTAGAACACACTGCAAGCTTGGCCCTGTTCTAACTGCATGAAAACCTGTCTCTAATCCTTTCCCTGCATTGGTTTAATTTTTATTTGTCTTTAGTTAAGCATAATTCTCCTACCTGACTAAAATCTCCTTGAGGGTAGGGTCCTTTGTTTTTTTTTTTACTCTGTGGAGCTTTGGACACAGGAAGTATTCAGGAAATGCTTATTGACAGTGCACCGTTACTGCCCACAGGCCCCACCCAGGCTTCATTAACTAACTGTGCTCTCCTACGACACAGACTGCGAGGGCCTGTGATACCCAGAGGTGGATACCGTGCCTGGGCTCTGTGCACTTACGAACCTCCAGCTGGATTATCAGAATGGTCTAGACCAGACACAAGCCCAGCAATGAGAGGGGCCAGAGGTATGATTATTATTTTGCATCTGGTTTTGACTCTGTTGCCAAGGACTGACGCTATGGGATTTGGAAAGAAGGCCAGACTGGATCCAGGAGGCAAGATCAGCCATTGACACCTCTCTGGGCCACAGATGTCTCCTTTGAAAAATGAGAGGATAATCCCCCCTTGTTTTGCAGGGGAAAAACCCTACAGTTTTCCAGATCTGCAGAGACCGTGCACCCAGCAATGATTTTCACATTTTAAAGACGCATTTACTGTGCTGGGTGACTGCACAAAGTTTTCCTCATGGACTCTGATTCAATCTGGAATCCCATCAGGAGGGCAACGTTACTCTTGGTGCACAGATAGAAAAACTCCAGCTAAAAGAGGAACTGACTCAACCAAGGTCTCATAGCTAGGGAGCAGGCAGAATTTTCCTAATGTGATATCTCAAGTGCTTTCCACTGTAGCATGCTGGCTGATACATTTAACTAGACTTTGTCTACCCAGGAGACGCAACTGACTCCCAGGCCACAAGATTTCACATGAGCAAATATGCATCTCATCAGAAAATGAAGAGTAATTCTCCAAACATTTCAAGGCTAAGTCTCTTCCAAACTTCCAATAAAGGAAAAAGTCATCATTGCAAGCCTTAAATCTATAGCAGCCCACAGCCCAGAAAGGAGAATGAGATTGTTCTCACCAGCATACTCGCCCATGTTGATTTCTTCTTCAAAAACATCACTGAAACCTTCACCAGAATTGAGGAGGTCTAATCGACCATCAATAAACTATAGAAAGAAAGAACAAAGCACAATTGTTTATACAACGAAAAGGGAAGAAAACCCAGTCGGGGCACCCTACTGTCTGACCTGAGAAGAATCTTATGTTTTCTAAGATAGGAAAGGTCCCTTAAAACTGAGTTTTCAAAATGTGAGTTTTAACAAGAAAGTTGCTAAAAAACTGGCTGCATGTTTGATAACTTGGAAATCCACATGGCAGATTTGCACAGGGTCCGTCTGCCCTCTTCACCTGATCCCCACTGGTGCCTGCAGACAGTGGCAGAGACCCCTGCAGGGAGCCAGAAGAAGGCCCAAGCAAGGGAGGGCCGCACCTGTTTGAAGAGCTGCAGCTGTGTGGCGTTTTGCAGGAACTGCCTCATGGCTCCTGAGCGGTAGTGGGACACAAAGGTTTCCTCACAGAAGGTGATTGGCTCCTCCTGGGAAACGGAGAGAGGAGAGCAGGGTCAGACATGGAGCCAGAGCCATCGGTCCTTATGCTCCTTTAGGCAGGGGCCCCGCACCTTCTGATTTATTTCACCCTTGTCAGTGAAGTGGCTATTCCAAGGCGCCATTCTCCTCTAAGGATGCAGGGAGGAAGAGTTATCCCCAAAGGCACAGAGAGGGCAGGAGGCAGAGTAGGAACTAACATTATTCCAACAGGGAATTCTACACTGGAACCAACCAGCTTCCAACCCCCTGCCTGCCCCTTCCATATCCCCATAGGAAGTGAGCGGATGAGCCCTCCAGTGGGATGATTCCAGGCTCCTCTTTTCCCTTTTGGGAGAACCCTTATTTAGACAGAACCTTATGCAGAAGGAGCCCTGCTACCTTCTGCTCCATCAAGCAGAGCTCAGCTGCTCTGGGAAGAGCTGGGAGTTGGGGGAGGTGGCCAGTTCCTCTGGCTCAGCAGCCTTCTCACCCCTCTCAGGTACCAGGCACTGTTGCAGTCCCCAGGGCACCAGCCATGGGTCATAGTTTAAAAACCATTTTGAAAAAATTACCCATTGATTTTAACCAATAGCAAATAAAAATTTCAAAGTGATTATTTATTTTAAAAAAGCAGAGATGACCAAAAATAAAATTTACTATCCAGCCAATTTTGTGCTTATGCTGTTTGATAAGGAAGTTTGTTTTTACCAAACTATATTTTATGAGTCAAGAAAATGATACCCTACACTTAAAAAAAAATCCCATCCGTATATAGTTAACACCTCAATCTTTCTTTGAACGCATTTGGAGCGCTTATTTACACAGACAAGTCTTTAATTTCAGCAGTGTATTCTCAATTCTGAAAGATCAGACTTTTATATCTTGAGCTGAATTAAGGGTAAGCCCCCCTCCCTTCACAGACTTGGTAGCAAACACAGAGATGTTTGAAGCTCCACTTTTATCCTGTTTTAATGAGTTATGTGAGTGTTAAATTTACTGTCTAGCTTCTGTAAGTTCTAAGAGTTCCTACTGCTTACATCTAGTCAATATTAGCAACTGGGCAGACTCAACTGCACAAGTGCTACAAGGATGAATCAAAAATATTAGGGGAAGGGGAACATTTATTTTTATAGAGGTACACCCTGCCTAATTTTACAAAGGATCTGAAGAGGCTTACATGACCACCTGAAACAATAAAGTCAGAGCTTGAAAATACGTAGACACACAAAATGTATTTATTTGAGAAAAGAGTATCTGGATAGGTAGGTCCTATTAAGTAAAAAATTAGCTCTGAGCTTCCAGCTGCTAAAGCAAGAAGGGAAAATAATGCAAACTTTACATTGTGTGTGAAGAAAAAAAAGCAGCACACTAGTTCCTTGGGAAAAAAGAGCTTTTCTTGACATTGATTACTTTGGGGTGGATTTCCATCTTCCATGCTTGACAGCTGAGGGACTAGCTAGTGAAAACCAACGGAGACCCAGCTAGAATGTTATTCCTGTGGCTTGGAAGTTTTGCTTTTCACCCTTTGGGACCATAGCAGAGCAATTAATTCTCTCTCCAGGTAATCTTATCCATGCACACAGTGTCACTTGGGCATTGATGACTCTTGATAAATATCGTCAGCCCAGACACCTTTCCAGAGCTCCAAACCCATGTCTCAATCTTTACCTGGATGGCCCTGCTGGCAACTCAAACTCAAACTCTCATTTATCAATCACCTTGTGAGCACTGTATCCCAAATCTGCTTTTCTTAAGTGTCGTTATCAACAGGTACCATAGTCAACCTATCAGATTTCCCAAGCCCTTCCCATTTTACCCATGGAACATCCCCTGCTCACCCCTATTCTCCATCCCACTACCTGGGGCAGCCTGGACTGCCATGGCAGCGGTTTAACTCTCTCTCCCTCTCTGTTTCATTCTACCCAGTCCATGCTGATTCTTCTGGCCAGAGCGCTTTCTAAAATGCAAATCGGATCATGACACAGTCCAACTCGAGAACTTTGGTTGCACAGATGTTACCTTTGTGAGATTATTTGATTAATGTCTGTTTTCCCACTAGACCATATGCTTTCTACAGGCAGGAATGGTACCTGTTTTGCTCTACATCATATACTTAGAAACAAGTGTGGCACATACAAGGGTTCTGTATGGGAGAGCAAAGAAAAAGTCACTCTGCAGGCAAATACTGCGGTCCTAAACTGACCCAAGCTGTCCTTCCAAAGCCCTTCTTTGCCACTTTGCCTCTGCTCCTTGTGCTCCAAACACATCCCCTGCTCACATGCCAAGTCCTTTCCCCCTCGCTTTTGCCAGTGCTATTCCTTGTGCCTGGACTTTCTTCCTCACACGTGCAGGCCTCCGTGCAGGAGTCACTCATCCCGCTCATTGATCCCACAATGCTATATGCACCCCTGGATGCTGGGATGGTCTTCATTGGTGCTCCCTGCTGGACTTGTCCCTGCACTCCCCAGGGACAGCAGAGCCCAGCCCCTAATTAGAAGCTGAGATGTTGGTTAAGGAACCACAAAATGATCTAGACCCTGGTTTCTGCCCTAGGAGTCTGTGATCTTAGTGTGACCGAGACAGGACTTGGCCTGATGGTAAAGAGGTCTCAGCACGATGCCAGGTGAGTGGTGAGTGGCATGCATGCCCAGGGAGTTTAGAGCTGCTCAGAGGAGATGCTCATTGGAGCTGTTAGCATTTACTTCTGGAGCTTTGGCCCAGTGTTGCCAGGAAGAAGTCTGCTGAGGGACCAATAAATTCAAGAGAGTATGCAACCAGATTTGTATGTAAGGGTAGCCTGAGGCAGAATTTCGCTGCAGCAGAGCAGAAAGATTCTCATCTTTGGGTAGACATGAACGCTTGAGGCCTGTTGTCTACTTAAGGTGACATCTCCTTGGATCAGATGCCTATGACATAAAAACACATGCACATGGGAATAGATGGGAAAAATTCAGAGGAATAGGGACAAGGGGGCTTTTTCTAAAAAGGGCTTAAAGATTAACATCAGATGTGCTAATCAGCTGTGCAAACAAAGGTTGCCACACCCTGCAGTGCTGCTGGGGCAGGGGCAAAATGTCCACAGGAGTCCCACAAGTCAAAGGCCAATTCCCCAAGGAAGGTCAGAGACTGTGATGAAAAGTGAACACTTCTCAGCGGAGCCTAGAATGGTGCCCAGAAGTCAGGTGGGCAAATCCTGACTGTTCAGGGCCTGACTCTCCTATCCTATTCCTGCTGAAGGCAATGACACTGTCACCCGAGTCATGCATACAGGTCTGAATGGCAACAAACACAGAGGGCTCATTCCCGTGGAGTGACTCACCTTCTAAGATAATGGCAACACTCAGCTCACCTCATCTGATCCCAGGTTCTGTGTGAGGCACTATGCCGTGCACTTCACAACCCTTTTCATCATTCTGGAAACTTTCAGGAAGTAGGAATTATACTCAAATTTTACAGAGGTATAGCTGAGGTAAGGGAAGTCACCCAAGGTGACACAACCCAGACATGGCAGATTCAGGGTAAACACCAGGCGGTCTCCAAAGTCCAAGTGTCACTAGCATGCACTCATCTGCTGCAGACTCGCTCAGCGATTCCCTGAGGCCTCAGTCCAACGTCTGCCCTCAGACATGGTCTAGAGAACAGGAGAGTTCCCTTTAAAACTGGAACCCTTCAGGTTCTCCTGGACACTTAGAGTAGCAACGTCTTCAGAAACAACAGCTCCCAGGAGTAAGCAAACCACCGTGAAGGCTCTTTCTGCTTACAGGCCCAAGACAAGGACGCCAAGTCATTTCCATCAGCTTGTCCACCCCTGTCTTGCCACTGAAAAGGCTGCCCCCACTCCACTCTGCAGCGGAGGGGCATAAGGCAAGGTGTCTTCTTAACACCTTTCTTTGTAAGAAGTGCTGATTTAGCTCTCTTATTAGGCTGATTCAACCTTTTGTCTTCTTAGGTGACACTCTAGGCACTGGGGCTACTGGCTGATAGCAACATTAATTCAGGGAATTCAGGCCGTGCGCATTCAAGCTTAGATCGCATTAGCGGAGTTCTCCATCTACGACCAGTAAAATACTGCTGCTTAACCCCATCACAAACTTTGCTAAAAAATGACAAGTTTTACTCCCAGATTATCTTCTTGACATATGGAATCAATTGAAAATTCCATCACTAATGAGCTGAATCTTTGTTAACAGGTAAATGAAGTTGGTGACTCCAAAGGTTTTTGATGCTTTCAGAAATAAACGACTTTATCCACAGCATGGTCAGTATAGGCATAAAAATAAAGTATCTCTCATGAGATTTTTCAGCAACTTTCCTTGTTCTGCTGAGCCATCCTTAAAGTATGAAATTCGTATTTTCCTTTACAAACATAATTTTTATCAACATTTTATGTGTATACTTACTATGAGATTCTAAGAGAAAAAGGTGTCTCCTTTTTATAGACCTTGATTAAAATTTTAAAAACAATAATTTTGGAAGATCTATCCATGTAGCCAAACATTTTTTTTTTTTTTTGAGACAGAGCCTCAAGTTGTCCCCCTGGGTAGAGTGCCGTGGCATTACAGCTCACAGCAACCTCCAACTCCTGGGCTCAAGCGAGTCTCCTGCCTCCGCCTCCCAAGTAGCTGGGACCACAGGCACCCGCCACAACACCCGGCTATGGTTGCAGCCATCATTGTTGTTTTGGCGGGTCCGGGCTGGGGATTCGAACCCGCCACCTTAGGTGTACGTGGCTGGCGCCTTAGCCGGTTAAGCTATAGGCGCCGAGCCATAGCCAAACATTTTTAAAGCACCTACTATGTGCCAGGCTCTGTGTTAGGGGAACACAGAGATGACTAAAATATAGTTCCTACCAACAGTAGTAACTGAAGGAGGGTGGGGAGTGGATGAAAGGACAGATGATACAGAACGGCACAAGGCTGTGTTCAGAGCAGCACGATTCACAACAGCTGAGAGGTGGAAGCAACCCGAGTGTCCATCTGTGGCTGAACAAAGAAAATGTGGCATCCAT